CAGAATGTTAACATTCAATAATGTACAAGATCTTTAATTTACCTTTCAAATTTAATCAGTCTGTTGCTGAATAACTGGCTAACTAATAATGAATGAATGCTATATGCAATAAACATATATCTTTTCAACTTATATTTTTTTTACCTTCTTTAATGATGCATATAAATGATATTAATTTATAATATGTCTAACTAATCATTTTTTTACTTTATTATGTGATATATGAACATTTGCAGCTTTTGGGATTAATACTTATGCTGTATATTTCATGACTAATACAAAACTACTTTTTTTTTTTTTTTTTTTTTTTTTTTTTTAAAGGTAAACTCTCTTTTCAGGTGTTAGGCTGCAATCTGAAGTTTTTAGACTGTGATTCTTTTTAAAATATTGATTCACATTTAGTTCATTACAAATTTAACAATTACATTTAACAATTATTGGTTCACACATTGGGCATTTGGGAAGGGATTTGCGATTTTTTTTACATTCACTGTTATTTGCCTACTTCAAACTTTGCTCATGTAAAAAGTAGGAAAAGAGGGTGGGAGATCAAAATGTTAAAAAAATAAAGTAATTTATTCAAAAAACCCCAAAAAAGTAACTTTTATAATAATTTAAAAAATCAATTCTTTTCTAAATTATTGAAATTGAAGTTCTAGCTGGTATTTGTAAATCCATGCAAAGCAAAGATTTATTATGTTGGAAAATATACTACTTGCAAGCAAATCAGAATTTACTGCATTTGATCTGATGTACAAATTCTTATGTGGAGAATGTTTAACGAAGAATAAATTCTGAAAACTTGTATTTGCTATAAAATACAGAGGCAAAACTTCAGTTCAGTCAAAATTAAAAATATCTCTAAATATGAATGCACAGTCTTTTTCAGGGTTCTGTGAAATTAAGTTTTATAATGATGAAAGTTTTGTATTCCACTAGTTTTGGACAATTCTTATTGAAATTGCATTGTTGTTATCTATGCTTAGGACAAATTACTGTATTTGCCGGCGTATAAGACGCACCCCCTTTTTATGCACATTTTTGAAGGATAGAACTTTTTTACTGATCATTATAACGAATTTACAGTATTTTAATTATAAAGTAATACAAATACAAAGTATTACTTTCTGCAAAAGCCTAATCTATCTGGGAAAGAACATATTTTAATCTCCTTCGTTAAAATCCAGACACTCATCTCCAGAGCTAAATGAAGAGTCACTTGAAACCTCTTCTAAATCAGCATCTGAGTCCATACAACAAATCGTCCTCTGTACCAACCAGTGCATTACTAATGCCACACTTCTTAAATGATTTAGCAACTGTCTTTGTTTTCACATCATCTCTTGAAGCTTTGATCCATTCACAAACAACATATCGACGCAATAAGTATCAACCTGTAAGACACAAGTATCGGCAGATAAGACACACCATTTTTCAGATCGTTTTTTAAAGGAAAGAAGTGTGTCTTATATGCTGGCAAACACGGTACATGCTACCAAATATAGAACATAAATTCCTTTCATTTCATTGGATTTGTTAGTGTTGATGTGAATAACTGCATGTCTAGTTGATTTGATTCATAGTTTGACCAGTTATTCACCTTGGAATCTAAACCTAAATGATTAAATGGGAAAAAAATTAATGCTATAAAAATTAAGCCAGTTAATGTAAGTGGACCTTCAACAAGAAGCTAACAAATGGTAAGCTAACAAGAAGCTAATGGACTTAAAAGCTTCAAATTGCTGGTTGAAAAATTTTTGAATCAGCATAATGTATCATTTAAATCAATATGCTATAAAGCTAAATCAATAGATTCTAAACACATAACAGAAAGGGTTATGTGCAAATTTCCATTCTAAAGAATTTACTGTCTGAGTGAAACCACTATCTATTTAAGTTGTTGCCTCAAAAGATCATGTTTAAAAAGGATAGTGTATGTTGGTAATATAAATTTTAGTAAGCATAATGTGCATTGCGTAGGCAGCAAATCAGCCTGGAAGGCGTCCAGAATTATAGTGAAATAGCTAACCTAACAGGGAACATAAATGTCAAAAAAGAAATGAAAATTTTTGCTTCTCATGGATAATATTGCATTCTCTGCATACAATAGTTAAAATGAAATACATGAATGTAACTTTTTTCCTAACCAAACACTATATCAGTGTGTTAATAATGCTTTTAGATCAAGGACTGGACCATTCCTAGGACATTCGTCCCCATGTTATTTCCCAAGATTGCCTCCCCAAATTAAAAATTTTTATTTCATACTTACTAAGTACTTACATATGTCAAATTGTATGAAAAGTACTTACAATGAATTTTAAATATTTAAGCGTGGTATTGCAAGAGTCCGGCCGCCCGCATACTTTTATGTGCTACAGCCCCTCTAGGAAGGGCCCTGATCAAGGAATAATTCAAGATGACATGTAAATGCTGCTATTGTACTAAATTTCATCATAAGTTTTGACCTGTCTAGACTGCCAGGAAGCAACTAAACGTCCATCTACTTTACATATGGCCTGCTGGTAATTAGAAACTGTGAAAAGCATTAGCCCAAGCTAAGTGCAGAAATATTTTCAGAAAATTGGTTTTTTATAATTAATTTAAGAGTACTTATGATGATAAAGAAATTCAATTAACAGCATTAACAGACTTATTTAGTTGAAATTTTTAATTATAGAATTTAAGTCCATATCAGTTGATGAAAATTTAGTACAAGAAAAGTAATTTAGAAACTGAATTATTTTATTAATTAAAAATGTTTGTAGTGAAGACAAATATGTTGAAGGAAACTTTGACACTGATTAGGCATGTAATGTACTAAGTAAAATAGCAAATACACAAAAGACACTTTAAAATTACTCTTTGAATTATGCTGATTGTGATGAAATCATTACAGAAGCTGTCAAAAAGTTAAAAGATCATTTTGAAAAGACTGAAAACAAAATCTTGTAAATAAAATATGTTGTTTTGACTGATGATTTTTAATAATTCTCAAAATTTGAGCATATCTGTCTGGTTACTATTCTTTTATTAACTATATAATATATAGTTATTATATTCTTTTATTAACTATAGAATAATTTTTATTTAATTTTTTAATTTATGTCTTTTCAAATTTATCCACTTTTGTAAATTAATTTCATATAATACATATTTCTTTATACGGCAAATGAAATCATTTAAATTTATTTCTCGAGTTTATAATTTTAATCCAAATTTATGTTTCAGTATTTTTCAAAAAAAAACCTTTAATTTATGCTGGTGTTCAAAATTAAGAGAATTTTAATATTTGGTCGATATATCTGGAACTGATGGGCAGATTGATATAATAAAATGGGGGATATATCAGACAACAATGCATTCATTGTGCATAAGGCTCAGTCACACAAAAGTCTAAATTAGAGATTGCAAGATTGAAACAAAAAAAAAAAAAAAAAAAAAAGGTGCTTGTAGGAAATATCATCCTTTCTCTAGCAATCACACAGCCTTTTTAATATAATTTCATACTGTAAATGAGGCAGTTTATGCAAGAACTGTGCATCCATTATGGGCCATGCTACAGAATATGTACATCCATCATGTTTGATACCTTTATGTTATTGGTCTTTGCACCCATCCTACATGATGCTTACTCAGACCATCAAACCTTCACTCTCATACTGGTCCTTTACTTGTGTTTGGAGGATAGCTTGTAGGTTCCTAGATCTCTCTTAATAAAAGTACATCTTGAATCAATGCTTACATAAAATTGTGACTCATCTGTGAATAGATTGATCCCCCATTGATTGTTGGTCCTAAATTGAATCTGAGCCATGCTAAATGGTCTGTTTTGTGCAAGAAATGACCAAGGTGTAAAGAGTTGATAGTAGTAGAATTTTCTCATAGCCTGCTGAAAATGGTAACCCTTGAAACTCGACTTACTGTAACTGCATGGAAAGAGCTTAAATCTGTTTTTATTTATTTATTTTACAAATGCCAAACATTAGTGCTTAAGCCATTAGTTCACAGGCTCTCCAGTACTTTTTAACAATGTTCTCATACCAAGAAATTACAGTACAATTATTTAAATGTTCAAAAATCATAGGCTGATTGGAGTCACACAAAATACAGTTTGGGGCATCCACCACTCCAATTCTGTAGAGGTGGTCTCACAAGCAGTCATGTCCGGTCAGACGTCTAAATAAAGCTACCACTGTCTTTATTGGAAAACTGGGAATGAAACTATCTCTTCCCCCAGAATCCCCAAACTCTTATCCATAGCATGTTAAATCATATCCTGCTTAAGAATTTTCTTAAGAGTCAGGTTAACAAACAATTTAGTCATATGAAAAGAAAGCAGTCGATTATGCATTGCATTATCAAAGTTCCTTTCTTAGCCAATCAGTTTTTTTTTTTTTTTTTTTTTTTTCATTTTCCATAATAGTGGGCTGAATCCATTGGAAAGAAATTCTGTGTGCCATTACCATAAGCAAAGAGAGGCCTACAGTCTAAAATTCTTTTGGAAATATTCTGATTATTCAGAAGAATGTGAAGTGCACTAAGAGTTAAAAATCTGTTGCACTTCTATTAAGCCTAGCTGAAATGACAAATATGGATTTTTATTGACCATCAGGGCTGTTATATCATTTGGTTCTCCATGTATCTGCTATCCTTAAACTGTTTCCGTAAGTTGCACATAATGCTGAGCATTATATTCAAGTACCTAGCAATTTGCACTAAGTAAAAAATGCCATGTGCACTTTTAATCACCTTTTTCCTAAATACTTACTCATATATACATATATGCTTCCTATATTCGACCCTAAAGATATGCATTCATTGCTTGGAAGCATAATTTATGCCCCTTTTTTTTTCAGTACTTTAAAAAAGATTTTCAAAATAAGTAAATTTTCTTAATTTTGAATGCCAATGTATATAAAGATAAAATGAGATAATTTCTTCCTTGACCTTTTTTTACTGTATTAATACATTAAAAATATGTGAATTTTGTTTATTAGAACAGACAGCTGAAGAAATCGAACGTACAAAACAGTTTGCAGCTGAAGTAGTTGAGCTGATGAAGCATACACCTCATTGTTCAATGGCGTTCAATAAGTTTATCCCAGCATATCATCATCATTTTGGAAAGCAGTGCCGTGTTGCTGATTATGGATTCACAAAATTAATTGAATTATTTGAAGCCATACCAAATGTCCTCGAAGCAAGTATTTTACTATACCATATTTAGTTACATTTATGGAACTAAAATATTGTAAATTTTAATGCCTAAACTGATGCAATATAATCCTTAATCACACCCATGGTATTAAAATAGTTATTGCTGTGATAAAGTACATGATAATCATAATATGTAAATGAATATGCATTATTTGTAACAAGAAAAACTAAGTGGGAGTTTTTTGGGGGGGGGGGATACTAGCCACCATACTTGTGCCTTCAGTCTTATCTGTCAAACAAAATATAGTTATCATTAATATGTCCAAAGGTATGCCAAAAGTTTTATGTACAGTACTTATTTTTCATATTAATGTATAGGCCCACCAGCGGGCGAGCGGTAAAGACGCTGAACACTGGTAGTTCGGTCCCAGGTTTGAATCCCGCGAATGGGCTGGCTGCATGGGCGTTTTGTGGTTTTCCCCATGTGTAACGTGTATACAAGCCACTTTCCCTTAGAAAGTCCTCCACGAAGGCATCCCTCCCTTTAGGCAGATAGCCCTCGTGTGCTTTGCCATAATTAAATAATCCAATCCATATTAATGTATATAGCAATAGTTTTTGTATGCTCACTATATGTACTAGTTATGTTTTTCTAAATTGATACATAGTATATGCATATTTGTAGGTAAACATTTCTAATTTTAATCTAAAAATTTTATATATGATAAAATTAATAGAAAACTGTTTAACATGGAATATTTGGTGGTGAGGTTGAGAGGATATCTTTTGTTTGATACATAGATTTGGAATAAAGAACGATGAACTTCATTTTTTTAATTTGTAAATTTCCTTTTGTTTTGAGAGAAATATCTTTTGCATCTTAAAGAAAAAACAAAGAAATTCAAGGTTGTTGTTTACTGAGCATATACATGGAGAATATTCACATTTTTATATTTTTTTTTTTAAATAAACTAAAATTATCTGTGTCCATGTACTAGTTTGATTAATTTAGAAGGTGCATTGTTGTATATTTACAGTTTTAAAATCTTAAGCATGAATAATTATCTTTCTGTTAAAAAGAAAGGAGGGAAAAAAAGTTATTTACATACTTCTGCAAAATAATTCTTTTTATACATTCATTAGATAGGTTTATTTTGAAAAGTATGGTAGTCTGTGTATGTTTCATTCATACATTGCCCGACATTGAAAATGCAACACCAAGAAGGAGTGCCCAGAAAGTGATGAAACTTGACAAACAGAAAGAGACAGCAACAAACAGTAAGTGATGTTTATTTTGAAATGATATGAATAATATAGAGGGAGAACAGCATTGCCTGAATAGGTTGTAGGACCACCTTGGATGACAATACACTTAATGACAATACTACTACATACTCAATGAAACTGCTTATAAAGTCCTGAGGAATGGCTCTGCATTCCCTGTCAACCATTTGCCACAGTTCGTGTTCTGAACGCAGCAATGGCAGGGTCTGCAAATGGCATCCAATCACATCCCAAATGTGTTCAATTGGTGAGAGCTTGGTGGCCAGGAAAGCATCTGTACAGCTTGCAAAGCATGTTGGCCTATGCGAGCAGTGTATGGTTGGCATTATCCTGCTGATAAAGAGCACTGGGCACTCTCTGAAAATAGGGGAGTGTCACTGGCCGCAGCACATCATCCATGTATCGTTGGGCTGTCATAGTGCCATGAATATGGACTACAGGTGACCTGGAATTGCACACAATTGTGTCCCAAACCATGAACTTGTATTCCATAATTGCTGCTGGATTGGACCTGTCTCCGTATCGATGCCACACTCATATGCAGCGACTATTATTGGAGAAACAGAAGCATGACTCATCTGAGAACACAACCTTGTGCCATTCCACCGTACACATCACTCAAGCCGGGCACCACTGCAGACATTGGCGTCTATGATGTGGGGTCAAGGGCAGTCTTCTTAATGGATGCCACAAGTACAGGCCACTAGTCACCAATCAACGGCAAATGTTTTTGATTGATATGAGAACATTCAGAGTGTTTTGAACATGCTGCAGAATGGAAGTAGAAGTGGCTTGCAGGTGCACCACTGCTTGTCGGTGGATGCATCGATCTACATGTGCTGATGTCACTCTGGCTGCACCCCTTGAACTTGTCACATTAGTCCAATCACCCATGTCCCTCGTAGAATTGTCTGTCTGCTGGAACTGCCTCTGTTGACAATGGCCTGGCATTCTCTTCTATTACGCATGTTCTTTGAGACAAAAACAAATTTTCTACGATGCCAAAATTAATGGCACGAATATTGAACATTGTGTAGGTTTCTTCCCTTATATCTTCATCAATATGCACTGGAGAGCTGTGCATTTCCACATCATTAGCGTAATTTTTGGCCCACTCCTTGATGTTGCATTTTAAGTGTCCGGTAGTGTATATTTCAGCAGTCATTTGTGAAAAACAGCCGAATTCTTTAGTACTGTAGGCTTATAGTATAAATCCTCTAGCCACTATCTCTAAGAATTAAAAGCTTATTTTATCTTAGCAGTGACTTAAAAAAAAATATCGTCTAAAAAGTGAGTATAGTACTCTGATATGTCTTCAAAATTCATTCCTTTGACTGAAGTGTAACATAATAAATAGTTCATCTGAGAAGAATATAATTTATCACTAATTTCTTAAAATGTCAACTTCATTTTATAGGTGAAAGGAACTGGAGAAGACAAAATTCTAAATCTTATTCCCAAAGAACAACATAAAATACTTACAGATCGTTTTGTATCTCTCTTGAAGTCCCAACCTCAAGAAGTTATAGACATAAATGAGATTAATTCTACCTATGCTCGCATGTTTGGTCATGCTTTGAGACCTGTCGACTTTGGTTTCACTGACTTATATGAACTTTTGGAAAAAATGAATTCAACTATTAGGGTATATTGTTCTCCCTTTCTGCTTTGTAAAAAACTAATAAATATTAATGATATTTTATTGGTAGTATACTTGAAATGGAACAAAAATAAAATTAGTTTTGATTAAGCTTTTTGAAATATTTCAAACTTTTTTATAGATAGATAATATTTTTTAAAAATTTATTTCCTTTTAAACTAGAGCTTATGTTGGGAGTACAAATAAGTCTCCGCCACCACCACCAGTAAGTTATGGTTAAAATGTGGAACATCATAGCATAAGTTTAGATATCTGCTAACAATGTAACCTTGAAATATTAAGTTTATATCAACATCATATATTTTTTTCATGCAAAAAATGTCAAATTTTGAGCCAAATGAGAATAATTTGTGAGAAATTTTGATTTACTTCTTTAATTGAAGAAATCTGTAGCTGAGGTGCAGATTTCCAGTTGCTTCTAAAAGCATATGATGAGGCCGCCGTAAGTAAGGAAAGTTGTCATGAGAGTTTCAGAATTTTAAGAACTGTAGTGGAAACGTAATATTATGTTTTTATATAATTATTAAGATTTTCTAATTGGCAACATGATGTAATGTTTTTGCATAGTTATGCAAAACAGTCGATGTGTGGCAGCTATGAGTTGAGTTAAAAAAAAGTTGTTACTTGGAGTGTTCCATGATATGTGTTGCATAAGCCTTACTTCTTAAAAAGCTTGTTATATCAATTTTATGTCAAAAAAATAAGTAATATGTTGCAAACAAGTATGGAAGTTATATAAAAAAATATGCTTGTTTTAAGACCAAAATAAGCATTTATTTAAATTATGAAATGCTGTGGCTTTTGGTTTCCCAGCGATGCCCACATTAAGAGACTGGTGACCTGGACATGATATGAACATGCAACTTTCTGATCTGGAGTCAGAAGAAGTTGGAAAACTTAAACCAGCAGTGGAATTAGTGGCTGATTTTGCTGCAGGTTATGTTAAGGATGGCTGCAAGCACTGAATATTTGTGACTGACAATAATGGGGTAACATTTTGAACGCTTAATCTTGGCATTCGTCGAGCTTTTTGATGGCCATTCATTATTTCCATAATTAATAAAGGCATAATCAGAGCAGACTTTTTAGACCATTTCAAATTATTAATTGATTTAAACAACAAAAGATTTATCGATGGTGTAACTAACCGTACTACTCAGTGTGACATTACATCCATCTCCCAAATGAATGATGTAAGTTCAGTACATGATAAGTTAAAATACCATGATCCAAGTATCCGAATATTACAAAACCTAATCTTTTGATAACAAATGTTAAGCACCATATTTCAACTGAAGTCCAACCGGTGTATGCCAAACCAAAACAGCTGGACAGTAAAACATTATAGATTGCCGAACAAGAATTTCAATATATTTCGAAAACAACATAATAAGACTGTCTACATCTCCATGGCTAGTCCTCTTCACATAGCCTCTAAAAGAGATGGAAGTTTTTGTCCCTGTGGAGACTATCGAAGACTTAATGCTATAACTATTCCTGACAGATACCCTATCCCTAAGATTAATGATTTTAACCACATTTTAAAAGGCAAAAAAATATTTTCCAAAATAAATTCCCTTAATTCGCTTGTTTTCGCTCTCTTTGAGTGTGTTTAACAGTCTTTCTTTAACTAAAACATATTTATCATCTGATGTTTTATCCGTAATGATATCCCATATAATTTCAACATAAATAATATTCAACAGCCCAAGACTCCATTAAAATCTGAGGCAAATGATGAAGGATCTTGAGTCTCATCATAAACTGGACAACCAATAAATGTTCTTTACATTTTAGTAACAATGTTGAATATTTTTCCTAACCTCTAGTATGGAATATGTTTAATTGTAATTGTATATATTTATTTATTGGATTTAGCACTTTTAAGTCTGATGACAGCTTACACTACATTATTCCACTACCAGAATCTCTTGAATTGTAACACAGTTACTGGAGAGTGAATAATGTAGTGGAAACATAATGTTTTTATATAATTATTAATATTTTCTAATTGGCAACATGATGTAATGCTTTTGCATAGTTATTGAGATTCGCTGTGGCAACAACAAGTTGAGTTAAAAATGTTGTTACTTGAAGTGTTTTATTATAAGCCTTACATAAGCCTTATTTCTTGAAAAGCTTGTTATATCATTTTTATGTGTAAAAATAAGTAATATGTTGCAAACAAGTATGGAAGTTGTATAAAAATAAATATGCTGTTTTTTTAAGACCAAAATAAGCATTTATTTAAATTATGAAATGCTCTGTTTAGCTTAGAGTTAGTTTTTCCGTCAATACTCACAGAACTATGAATTTGATTTTGAAGACGAAGAATATAGTGGAAGGCTGAAAATATATGGAGACATGGAATTCGTAGCGTTATTGTATGAAGATTCGTGTCAAATGCTAGTAGAACTTGCACTTACATAAAATGTGTCTCCTTAAGCAAGGTCACTTCATTTTAAGTCATTGGGAATGATTGAAAAGGAAGGAAATTGGGCTCCATATGAACTGAAACTGAGAAATATCGAACACCGATTTTTTAATGCTGCTTGCCAGGCATAAATGAAAGAGTTTTTTTCCATCGTATAGCCACTGCTGATGAAAAATGAATCCACTGTGATAACTCAAAGAAGAAGAAATCATGGAAACAACCTGGCCATGCTTCAACATCCAACAGCCAAGGCAAATATTTATAAAAAAAGTATTGTGTATATGGTGGGATCAATTTGGTGTCATGTATTTATGAGTTGCTCAAACCAAAAGAAAACATTACTGGGTCTCTCTACCAAGCACAACTAATGAGATTAAGCCAAGCAATGAACGAAAAATGTGCCCATTACTACTCCAGACATGACAAAATTATTCTCCTGTTGTTGTATCTGCATGTTGCAGCTGGTGTCAAACCTACTCAGAAACATTCAAATGATAAGTTTTCTCCCTGTATTCACCAGACATTGCTCCGTCTGATTACTACTTGTTTTGATGGATAATACATGGCCTCTCTGAGCAGTGCTTCACATCATTATGAAGATACTAAAAATTAGGTTGATTTGTGGATAGCTACAAAAGATGAAGAATTCTTCTGATGTAGTATCCATATGCTGCTAGAAAGATGGGAAAAAATAGTGGCTAGTGATGGACAGTTACTTTGAATAAAACATAACTTACTGTTCTTCACAATAAATGCCCAACTTTTCATAACAAAACAGCAGAGACTTATTTTTACTCTCGATATTTAATGTTATCAATTGACATTTTCCCTGATGTAATATTTTTATAGTCTTAATACATAGTTATATTAATTTTTAGTGTGCCAAATAACAGTTTACTTAAGCATTACATGAGAATATTTATGTTAATATAGTTTGATATAGAAATGTCTGTTATTGTTTGGATAGTTTCAATTTATATAAAAATTATATAGGAAAGTACTACAGTCAAAAGTCGTTAATTCGGACACCCATAATCCGGAATGATCTATAATCCGAACCTCAAAGCTAAAATCTTTCTGCGCATGCGCAGGGTTGATGCATGCGCATAGGCGTTTTACGCCTGCGCGCAAGACATGTGCGACTGCGCATATGTGTCTGCGCAAGCGCAGAATACGTTTTCACGTGCGCATTTAATGTATAATGGACGGTATAAGCTAAAATTATCTAATAACTATTTCAGTTAATGTTGATGATTTCGTTGTCCTTAATCTTCGAATTAGATCTGGCTTATTATTTTTTTGCAGTCTGTAAGAGCAATTTTATAAAAGTAAGCTTGAACTTCGATTATGTCAATAGAATTTCCGATGCTGGAGCTCCCAAAGGATCTAGAAAACGAAAGTATGTTTCGATGTCCATTAAACAAAAAACGAATTGCTACAAAAAATGGATAAAGGTATATCCTTTGTTTATCTAACCGTTCCGAAATCTGTTTATCAATTTCACGCTGCTCTGCGCGGGGGGGGGGGACGTCGCGGCGTGCAATGAATTGGAAGTTGATCTGTCAGCACTATCGTTATCTTCAGGGCAGATGTTTTTATTTTATTCGCCTTATAATTCCTTACTAAATGGTGTATTTAATCTCAATGTACTCCGTCTTTGATATGATTTAAATCAAATTCCTCGTCATTATAAATATCCCGAATATGAATCAAATACTTTTCTGGTTGCAATTTTCTAATTTCGCTATGCGTAATTTATGCTTTACGCATGCGCGCGTTGAAAGAAATGTTTAATAAAGCAAACAAATAAATATTAAGCTTCTTTTTTTGTAAATTTTAATACCCTTTAGATCATAATTGCTCATTATTTTATAAATTACGGTTTCATATTTTTAATTTTATAATTTCTGCATGCCATCTTACCAGATTTAAACTGATGATCTATAATCCGGAAAAATCGATAAACCGGAATCGCCGAAGTCCCGACGAGTCCGAATTAAAGACTTTTGATTGTATAGGATTTTTATAAATTACAAAATAAAAATTATTTCTTACATCATACACGACATAAAAAATACATACATGTGCACAGACACGTAAGTATACATACCAAAAAGAAGTAAAATTTTGGAATTGGCACAGTTAATTTATGCATTAAAGTCATGATATAATATTTTATAAATGGATAGTGTTTTGTTTGTGATCACGTGTATCAACATATATCTTAAGAAAAAATATGAAATCTTCAAAGATTTTTTGTCGTCAATCAAAATATCGTCAACCAAATGAAATCATTGTCATAGTCGTCAATCAAAATATATACCAAAAATTATAAAGCCTGTTTAGTTAAAAGTAATTGTTATGTGCTTAAAGAACAGTCCGTGCAATTTAAAATGAATGCAGTGAATAATAGCAGAAGGAAAAAATTCCAACTTGATGCTAAAATGGGGAAAAGATCATTTCTTTATCATGTATGACATAATTTGCAGTAATATATATTTGAGGTGGTTATACTGTAGTATTTAAAATAATTCTTGATGAAAAATGCTGCTGTTGTTATATTTAAAAATAATTGTTTCCAAATTACATAATTGTCGAAATGTAGAGCTTGTATATTATAACGAGTTTTGTTAGTCCTAATAGTTTGCTACCATAATTTAGAAGTTTGGAAGTGTAAATATATATATATATATATTATATATATATATATAATGTATTATACTTTTATCTAAGTATTGTTCCCTTATATAATATTGTCCCTTCTCATAGATCATCAGTAATCACAACAAAACATATGTGAATCTCATTAATTGGAGCACTATTAACAAGGTATCTCTAAATCTGAGACATTTATTGATGGAACAAACTGATGGAAAACTGCCAATTAAGGAGATGCTGAAATTGTATCAAGCACGTTTTTGCCAAAGAATTAATCTTTCTATATATGTACAAGATCTCAGAAATGTTATCATTGTAAGTTGTTATATATTTTTACTTTAATGTTTGCATCTTTTAAAGTACCTATATTGCATATATCAATTGCTTTGTCCGCAAATGAAATGAGTATTTAAAATTGAACATGTTTTTCAGGTTCCAGTTATGATTAGGTGCACTTAACTATGATTAGCTTTACTGTATATGAGTAGCACGCAGAAATGTTTTTTTTTATTATGCTAATTAATTGCCAAAATATTTTTCCTGTTATTCCAAGAATGAGAGTAGAGAATTCAGAGAATTATATATACATATATTGGTGTATTTTTCTTGGTCTGCTTGGAAATGTAATTAAAATAAATTAGTTTGAATTAATCAAGTTGAAGCATTATTAGATTATATAACTCAAGTGGATTAGGAAGATAAAACAATATAAGATCTCTTTAATTAATGGTGATATTATTGACAAGAACTATTATCCCATAAAAAGTTAGCTTTTTTCCATGGAATCAGCATTTTAATTTTTTAATGGTTTTTTTCTACTGCAGTTTTACTTTTTCTAACTTCTAAGTTTAAAAGAGCTTTTAATCATAATAAGTTTAACTCCACATTTTCTGAAGATATAAAAAAATTAAAAACCTTCCAAATTTTAACAAAATATGCGAAAGAAAAAGTTGAGAACTAGTAAAAAACAAAATTAGAACTTATGCAAAAGTAAAATAGTATAGGTCGAATGGCCAAAATATTAGAACTGCCATACTGAACTATTTTTGCCCTCGTCAGGGAGATGAACAAAAATAATTCAATTTTTTCTATTCGAATTAATTGCTACGATGCATCATTTCTGATATTATGCAGTTCCCCCCCCCCTTTTTTTTTTTTTTTGTTTGTTTTTTTGGTAATTCAGATCGCCATCTGTAATAGTTATAATAATGCTTTATGTAATCCTGTTGCATTGCAGATGGCTCTTATCTGATAATATTAAACTCTTGAATGTATATCTCGCACTTTGCCTAATCTGCCCCCTTTTTCTACTTTGCCTTGCTGTTGCAAGCACATGTCACTTATCTCTCTGTTTTATCCATTGTCTAATGTAAAATTTCAAAGAGTGTTATAGAGATTGGATGCATATCGTGCACTTGATTATGCTTCTCAAGGCTTGCTTTATAAAGGTACGAAATTATGTATTGAATCTTTGGCCACGTCTGCAAGATTTTCTCCATTATGAATCGATGATGCCACCAGCTCTTGCCAAGTTAATACAGCGAGTCATCATTCTAACGACATGTTAAAACAACATGTTAACGACATGTTAAATCCATTACTACTATTGTCAGTCATCAAGCCATCTGCAAATATATATGTATAGTGAATAAATACAAAGTAAAATGCAGCCTAACTAATTATGTTCTGATAGCTACAAAAACTCGTGGAAATGATGTAAAGTAAAAACATTTAATCCATCCCATATTCAACCTGGGACAAATTATTAGAAATAATACTGTGAAACACAGTGATTAATTGCATGGAAAAAAAAACAGAAATAAAAGCAGTAGAAGAAAAAAGGATATTTATATCCTCCGCCAGTTTTCCTGGACGATAGACATTATTTATCGGATGCTTGTTTTTCGTAAAAGTGATAAATATGGCTTCATATTTCACAAGAAGATATCCCGTATATCTCTCTCAAAAAGAAATTGAATATCTTGTCAACAATATTTTTATGTAGAATACTCTGATTCTGAAGAATCTTGTAGTATTCACATCGAAAGCAAAAATGAATCTGAGTGAGCTTTCTGCAGATGAATATCATAATTTTTCTAATGACTGTGAATAAAATGTTAATTTTTATGGAAAAAAGCACTTCGAATGGTATAAAAAAGAACTAAATCGGGTGATACAAACACCAAAGCATAACACAATAATTCAGCTCCTTGGTCTGAAACATCCTGCAAAAATAAACTCTAAAGCAGAGCCCGAAGATACTTGGAATTTATGTTCATACATATTGTTCCAGTCATATACTGATGCTACAAAACCGAAAAGAAAAAAAATTATGCTTTTATTATCTAATCAACGTGTTAAACCACATCTGAAAGTTGGGATAACTTCCGCTGTTTTGCCAAGAGAACTGAAGATAACAGTTAGAAGAATCCTTGCAAATTCAGAGAATGGATTTATCAAATCAAGAAGAAAAATTAGAACATATAGTCTGTGCCCACCTTGTAAGAAGAGAAAACCAGCATAGAAATGCTTGGAATGCAAGGAAACAGTGTGTCTTTAGTGCTCTCAAAAAATGTGTTTTGACTGTGTATCATCTTACAATTCATCCTTCTAAACAAAGATAGAGGAATCTGTTATTTTTTAATAATTAAATTCATTGTTGTAGAAATATGGTTTAATTGACATTAATGCTTAATAAAGTCACATATTTTCATGCATGTTTAATAAAATATTTTGTTCTTTAAAAGCTTTGTTCCTTAAAATGAAGAAAGTAGTCATTTTTTTTTAATATGAACTTAACTACGTAAAATTAAATAATCTATCTTTAAAATATATTGATTTGAATGAACTAGAATTCCTTAAATGTGCATAAAGTATCTATAACATTCCTTAAAAAGGCATAAAAGTATGTATTTTTACGTGTTTCTTTAAAGCGGTCTGTGAGACCGCTCACAGTAATTATGCTGAAAAAATTGCCACAGCCATTAAAGGTTAAAAATTAAGTATAAAAAACTGAAAAATAAAATTTATAAATTTGCATCATTATCAATTCAGAAACAGTCTGATTCATTTACTTCTTTCATTACATCAACCCTATGAGGATGACTTATAACTATTTCTCTTAAATTTCTGTTTTTTAATAAACCAGTACAAAAATATAGAGGATGCAGAATTATTTACTGTCACTTCGTTTTTATTTTCTGTTTTCTTTAATATAAAAGTTTACTTATATATTTAATACTTTATGAAACATTACAGGTGTATTTTAACACAATGAAACCTCTCTAAATCAACCATGATTGGGTTCAAATGATTTTAGTCTTCAATAATACTATTGGTGATGTTCAGCATTGTTATTTAATAACTATATTCCTAGAAATGCAGGTAATTTTCACAGATGATGGGCATGTCAGGCTCACTGTATAAATCACTTGCATACAGGTAATTTTTATGTGTGTTCTCACTGATTATTTAATATTTATTGAATTTCTTATTAGGTTGAAGATGGCATTGTAATGCTGACACCTTTACATTTGCTTGCTAGGAATCTAATTGTGTTGCTAAAGGCACATGAAGGGCAAATGCCATTATCAAATCTTGGTAGTTTGTTTCAACAACGTTTTGGAATTTCTCTTTCTGCTGCAAATTATGGATTTTCGAATATGTATTCATTATTTGAAAATCTCGCTGAATACTTCATAGTCAAAGGCAAGAAGCAAAAACGCATAGTATACTTGAACTCCGACAGCATAGGTAAGTAGTACATTTTGGGACTGAAATGTTTTCTAATTATGATACTCTTGTTGGTACCATATAACAGATAACTTAAGATTTTTATATTGTTCATATCAAATATGTAGTTAAGTCACCATTATTCAATTGTTTTACATTTTACATAAGTTGAATTGAATTGATCCATAAGGAATTTAGAGGCAATTAGAGAGAAATAATGCTGATTAAGAATGGTTTCTGAAACAAAGTATTTTGGAAATTGTCCTCTTGTTCCAGAAATCATTCTGAAACACTGCAAGAAGTGGAGACTAGATAATCCAGATCTTTTCATCTTGTATTGAAACCATTCTCAGACATAAAAGAATGTAGCTAATAGTGTTGTAACCAGGTTCAGTTAGAGGTAAACATTAGTCTTCTATACATGGAAAACTAAATTCAGTGTTTTCAGGAAAACATTGCCCGAAGCTTAATACTTTTAAGACTATCGTATTTTTACACTTCTCATAATCCTTGTGCCAATATGCCGTAGAATGATACTTGTATATCTGAAGTCCCATGCTTATAATAAAAAGGAAATTTATTGAATTAGGAAACTTTCCTGTCCTTTAAAATCTAGTCAGCATTTCATATTTCGCTTCTACTGGCTTTTTACCGTGTAGGATATCCTATTGTCAACTGCAGCATCAGTGAATTATGATCTACATTTTACCAATAGTTTTTCATTTTCAGCACATTAAACCAGTTAAGTTACTAATCATAAGTGACTGTATTAATTTATTATTGTAAGCACCACTATTTTTGAAATGCTTTGTCCAAGTCATCTAGTCATTTTAATTTGGCTTTTCTTGAGCTTGCTTAATTCTGTTTCCATATACAGACCAATCAAAACATTATTTAACAGAGCTAATTCATGTTTTTTTTTTTTTTTTTTTTTTTTTTTTTTTTTACATTATAATGTTAATGACTGTCCATATTGGGCACTAGAAAAAGTTTAAAAACACATGCAACCCAAAAACAGAACAGCAAGTTGAACTCTACATTTTTTTACAGGAAAAAAAATAATAACATAAAAGATTAAGCTTTAAAGGTATTTTTTCACAAACCACAAGTATACACAAGTTCTTAACTCTTAAATACTTTTTTATTAAATATGTTAAAGTAAGATGTATTTACAAAAATTAACTCTGGTGCCTATGTTAAACAATTTATTTTAATAATTCTACTGATTGAATTCTACTACTAAATTCTACTTTAAAATTCCACTGATTTTAAAATTTTATTGTTTCACAAATTTGTTATTTATTTATACTTATGCATATAAAAGTAGAACAGTTATGGTGTTTTAATTTTTACTTCCTTGTACAAAGTATTGTAATCATGAAAAATTTCGGGTATCATCTTTCAACAAAATTATCCATTTTGACCTCTCTCAATGTTTAATAATGTTTTTGCATAAAATCCGTATGTACAGACAGACTATTCCCAAAACAGATTGAAAAATGAATACAGAAGAGATTTTTTTTTCGTGACACTTGTACATATTTATTTTGTATAACTAAAAAATGACTGGCCTCAGAACATTGAAATTTTATATATGGGACTGCTATAACATGTGGTTTTGCACCACTCTTTTTGGTTGCAATCGGCAGCATCAAAAGTATATATATATAAATATATACTCTTTTACCCGCCTCAGTGAGCTCAGTTTTTTTTTTTTTTTTTTTTAAATTATTATATATTGACAAATTGTGCACTTTTTGCCTTAAACGTGATTGAATTATGCTGTTCTTATGCTCTAGTTAAGGTTTTTATGCCTTTACGTACTTTATATGCAATAATTGTAGAATTATCAGCAATTTAAAAGTTGTTTAAGTCTTGCTAAGCCTAATGCATCTGCCATTTGTTTACATTTCAAAACTGTTTCGAGAAGGGATGAGCAAACTTTTTCCATCGAAGGCCAAAAATTAAAAAAAAAAAATAAAGTTTGGCAGGCCAAGATAAATTTTTCTAAAATTTTAAAAATAATATACAGTACGAAGTCTTTAATCCGGACGTCCATAATCCGGAATGATCTATAATCCAGACCTGAAAGCTACAAACTTTCTGCTAATGCAAAAACGCATATGCGCATGCATAGACTTTGTGCTAATACTTTACGCATACGCATTTATGCATGCACATAATACGTTTACGCATGCACGTTTAATGTATAACTGATGGTATAAGCTAGGCTAAAATTACCTAATTATCTATTTCAGTTAATGTTGCAGATTGTGTTGTTCCTTAATCTTCTAATTTGATATGGCATATTATTTTTTGCAAACTGTTAGAGCAATTTTATAAAAAGTAAGCTTGAATTTTCGATTATGTCAAAAAGAGTTTCCGATTCTGGAGCTGCCAAAAGATCAACAATGCAAAAGCATGTTTCGATGTACCGCTTCCGATAGTGAAGAAAGTTACAGAGAGGTTATTGAAAATGAAAAAAAAAATTCGATTGACAAGTTAGTCGGTATTCTCGACACAGCAATTGCAGGACTTGAACAGTGGAACTGAACAAGAAATTATGTCTGTTTATAGAATTAAAGAGAAAGTATTAGCACAAAAAGCGAAGCAACTTAAACAAGTTACATTGAAAGAAATGTTTAATAAAGTAAACAAATAAATATTAAGCTCTTTTTTTTTTTTTTTTTTTTTTTTTTTTTTTTTACATTATAATGTTAATGACTGTCCATATTGGGCACTAGAAAAAGTTTAAAAACACATGCAACCCAAAAACAGAACAGCAAGTTGAAACTCTACATTTTTTTTACAGGAAAAAAAAATAATAACATAAAAGATTAAGCTTTAAAGGTATTTTTTCACAAACCACAAGTATACACAAGTTCTTAACTCTTAAATACTTTTTTATTAAATATGTTAAAGTAAGATGTATTTACAAAATTAACTCTGGTGCCTATGTTAAACAATTTATTTTAATAATTCTACTGATTGAATTCTACTACTAAATTCTACTTTAAAATTCCACTGATTTTAAAATTTTATTGTTTCACAAATTTGTTATTTATTTATACTTATGCATATAAAAGTAGAACAGTTATGGTGTTTTAATTTTTACTTCCTTGTACAAAGTATTGTAATCATGAAAATTTCGGGTATCATCTTTCAACAAAATTATCCATTTTGACCTCTCTCAATGTTTAATAATGTTTTTGCATAAAATCCGTATGTACAGACAGACTATTCCCAAAAACAGATTGAAAAATGAATACAGAAGAGATTTTTTTTCGTGACACCTGTACATATTTATTTTGTATAACTAAAAAAATGACTGGCCTCAGAACATTGAAATTTTATATATGGGACTGCTTATAACATGTGGTTTTGCACCACTCTTTTTGGTTGCAATCGGCAGCATCAAAAGTATATATATATAAATATATACTCTTTTACCCGCCTCAGTGAGCTCAGTTTTTTTTTTTTTTTTAAAATTATTATATTGACAATTGTGCACTTTTTGCCTTAAACGTGATTGAATTATGTTGTTCTTATGCTCTAGTTAAGGTTTTTATGCCTTTACGTACTTTATATGCAATAATTGTAGAATTATCAGCAATTTAAAAGTTGTTTAAGTCTTGCTAAGCCTAATGCATCTGCCATTTTGTTTACATTTCAAAACTGTTTCGAGAAGGGATGAGCAAACTTTTTTTCCATCGAAGGCCAAAAATTAAAAAAAAAAAATAAAGTTTGGCAGGCCAAGATAAATTTTTCTAAAATTTTAAAAATAATATACAGTACGAAGTCTTTAATCCGGACGTCCATAATCCGGAATGATCTATAATCCAGACCTGAAAGCTACAAACTTTCTGCTAATGCAAAAACGCATATGCGCATGCATAGACTTTGTGCTAATACTTTACGCATACGCATTTATGCATGCACATAATACGTTTACGCATGCACGTTTAATGTATAACTGATGGTATAAGCTAGGCTAAAATTACCTAATTATCTATTTCAGTTAATGTTGCAGATTGTGTTGTTCCTTAATCTTCTAATTTGATATGGCATATTATTTTTTGCAAACTGTTAGAGCAATTTTATAAAATGTAAGCTTGAATTTTCGATTATGTCAAAAAGAGTTTCGGATTCTGGAGCTGCCAAAAGATCAACAATGCAAAAGCATGTTTCGATGTACCGCTTCCGATAGTGAAGAAAGTTACAGAGAGGTTATTGAAAATGAAAAAAAAAATTCGATTGACAAGTTAGTCGGTATTCTCGACACAGCAATTGCAGGACTTGAACAGTGGAACTGAACAAGAAATTATGTCTGTTTATAGAATTAAAGAGAAAGTATTAGCACAAAAAGCGAAGCAACTTAAACAAGTTACATTGAAAGAAATGTTTAATAAAGTAAACAAATAAATATTAAGCTCTTTTTTTTTTTTTTTTTTGATACCCTTTAGATCATAAAGCTCTTTATTTCATAAATTACGGTTTCATATTTTTAATTTTATGATTTCTGCATGCCATCTTACCAGATTTAAATTGATGATCTATAATCCTGAAAATCCCCTAATCCGGAATCGCTGAAGTCCCAACGAGTCCGGATTAAAGAGTTTGTACTGTGCAAGTATTACAATTTAAATATGTTAATAAGATGAATGAAATTGCGATTTCATTTTTAAAGTTTCTTATATTGAGGTTCGAAGTGAGATGTACTGATTCTAAAGAACGGGGCTAAATGCTAATCTCTCAGTCTACTTCTGAAATAATTCTTTCTAAGATTCATAATTGAAACACTTGTTCAAATATATAAGATGAAGCAAACATAGCACTGATTTTCTGAGCACGCGATATTAAATTTGGGAAACCTGTAGAGACATTAGGTGCAAAACAATTAGCAACACCTTTACCAGGAATCGAACGACGGACCTCTGGTATACGCGCCCAGCATGCAGATCACCATACCGCAAAGGCATGCTAAGAAGACAGGAGAAATACCTTATGTACTCCCTCTTTTAAAGAGCGACTGCAGTTTTTAGGGGACCCAATCACCAAATCCTGGGTGTGGAGAATCATCATCCACTGCCCTTTTAGTTCGGGCACCACTGTAGAGACATTAGGTTTATTTCAAGCAAAAGTGATGAAAAATTAGCAACGCCCTCCTCCGGAAATCGAACCACGAACCTCTGGAATATGCGCCCAGCATGCAAACCATCACACAACAAAGGCACGCTAAGAAGGCAGGAGAAATACTTATAATACTTATATGAATATATACGAAGAATTTATAGAAATACTTATATGGTTTACAACTATAAACTTTGATATGATTGTTAAATTGCATCTCAATTAATTCAAGCGGCAAATCTGAACACAGTGCTTCACAATTTATGTTGAAAGGCATGGTAAAAATATCCAATTCTGTTTGAATGGCACTGAAATCTTGAGATCTGGATGCCATTTATCTTCTTGAAAAAATTTTGTCAGTTTGATAACTTTTTTACAAAGGCTTTCTGCATTTTGTTTTCTTTCATATTCGGACATTGCTTCTTAATTCAAATTCCTATGCTTAGATGTGAAATGACGGGAAATGTTATGTTCTTTAAAGACTGCTACAGCTTCATTGCAGATGAAACACACTGGTTTATCTTTTACAACTATAAAAAAATATTTCCAGGTCCATTCATCGTTAAAAGCAAGGCACTCTCTGAATCAACTTTACGTTTTTGAGTAGCCATTTTGGGGTTGAAATATTTTACGAATAACCCAAACAAGCACTAGCTACGCTATACTTTTAATTAATTTCACCACTATTTATAATGATGCTATATGTCCGCAGTCTTTCCATATGCAATCAATAATATTAGAACTCGTTCTAAAAGAAAAAGCAGCTGGAGCTTAAAATGCGCAGTCTGCCCCATGTGAGGTCTAATTCACCTACATTAGATTCCCATATGTCTGCTCCCCAGCCAAGTGGGACCAGAAGTAAAATTTCAGTTTTCCTCACTGAAAATTCTGCCTTATTGCACACTGGCCGAATTGCTTGTTTCTCTAATTTTAACTGTAATTTTTTTTAGCTGTTTTAACTGTAATTGTTGTTTTATGTTTTTCTGTGTTTTAAAATTGTTAATGAAGATGTTTTGAGTTTTTTGTATTTTTGCTTTTCTGCAAAGTGATAACTGAATTGATTTAATGATATATTTATCTCTAATGAAATTCGAGGAAATAAGTTTAAATGAAATGCAGCAAAAATGTGTATAATTTAATAGGAGTACAAAGAAGTTGTGGTGTCCACATCAGATTTTTTTTTTTTTTTTTTAATGTAGATGAAACAGAATATCAAATTATATAGTGCGTGCAACAAATAAAATAAATGTAAAATATTTTTACTGATTTTCTGCAAATTTTATGATAGTTAAATAAAATAATAGCTGTTGTTGAAAATTAATTGTTAATACGTCTTGAAAATATGAATAAATTTTTCCTATAATCCGAAAAACAATTATGAGTAAATAAGTAAATTCGGTACTTCCTGATTATTCCAAGTTTTTAATATTCACTAGTATTTTGAAAACAGCCTCTATGATAAGAATAAAAAACCACAAAACAAAATGAGTAGTGTTAAAAGTGCAGGAATAAGAACTAGGCATATTCTTGGGGTGCCTTCATAATGGTGCCACATCTTTATGTGAGGTGAATGCTGTTCAAAAAGACAGAAATCTTTATAATGGTGAGACAGCATGAAGTGTGCACAAACTGAAGATCAGTTTATTGTGTGAAACAGATCATTGAAACCCTTATGACAGTCTGGTATTTTTCATAAAGATGCATGCATCATTAGCAAGTTTGATTTTAGTTTTAATTACTTATTAATTCTTTGACACCTTTATGAAAAACACCAAGTCGTTATAGAGCTGCCCACACTTTTATGAAAAATGTCGGATTGGCATAAGGCTGCCGAAGTTTTCATCAATCAGAATAATTTTTCAGGTTGCACTTCTTGAAAAAGGACTTTGTTATTTCTATAAATTAAACTTACTTTATTTTGCCTGAAATGTTAAACTGCTGTACACATAAAGGATAAAAATGATGTGTTGTGTATATATAAATAAATATATTTTACCTTTTCTGTCTTTTTTTAGATTTGAAGTATAGACCATAAATTTGGTAAAATTGTCTCTACTAAATCTTCAATTTTCTATCATATATTCAATTTTTCATATGTTCTATCTAGAAGTTTAAATATCCTGATTTTCTTTCAGCTATCGATGTGCATGTCGATTTCAAATATTAAAAACCATTTTTACTGTTAATGATGGAATGTTTCAGATCTTCCCCACACCCATTTTTCTTTTTACTAGTGTTTCCCTAATATTGTAGTATTACAAGCTCTCTTGAAGAAATTTGCTTTCTAGAAATTCCCCAGAGAAATATCTAGAAAAAATTGAAAAGGGAAAAAAGGAATTCAGAAGAAAATAATTTTACAGTGGATTTATATGAATAATTATCAACATTTAATTATATCAGTTGACAATTGTAAATTGATTCATATTTAAATAAATATATAAAATTATAATACAAACAAAAAATATTCAAATATCTTTTCATGATACCGTCCATGCTTTTCATGAACTCTTCGAATTGCGTTCAGTGTTTTGAATACAATTGGAACAGTAGTTCCTCTGTTATGGAAAGATATTTGAATATTTTTTGTTTTGTATTATAATTTGTATATTTTTTTATTAATGAATTAATTTACTTTGGTATCAGAATCATCAAAATTATATCAATCAATTTGTCAATTGATATAATTATAAATGTTGATAATTATTCATATTAATTTATTATTAATTGATTGTAAAATTATTTTCTTCTGAAGTCCTTTTTTCTCTTTTCAACTTTTTCTAGATTTTTTGTGTTTGAATGCAATTGGAACAGTGGTTCCCAAAACATGGTCTGTGTCATGAATGCGAGAAACTGATCTACAGTTTCTGAACAGTGGACAACTTCCCAAAGGGTACGACACTTTTTTGAAGTCATTCCATATTCTTCCAATATAATCTGAAACTTAGTTTTTCTCTGTAAAATCTTTGTATACCAAGCAAATTTAAAAACGTAACTTTTTGGGGATGTTAGTCATTTAAATTTGCATTCCCCCCCCCCAAAAAAAAAAAACGTCAGCATGCTAAAAGCCTTAAAATAGATGCTGGGCAGAGAAAGAGAGAACTTATTAGTTGTAAAGGGGGAGATTTTCACTCTATGAATTTTGGTCATGAAGATTATGAAGCATTATAAAGCATACTGAATAGTATTACTAATAGAATTTTCACTCTGTGGTAACTTCTTAGAAATTTATATTTTATGCTTTCAGAGCCTTTCTGCCTGCATTTTTGAAGTTATTTTCATAAAATTCTCTCTCTCAATTTTAGGGAGTTTTATTATTGCAATTTCATGCATGAAAGCCATGTAGCCTCATTTTTTTAGCAGCCTGTATATGTTAACATATACAGCACAAGAGATATATATTCTGATGTTGCTTGATTTTTATATTTTTTAGTATTATAAATTATGCAGCATAATATAAAAATGCAGCTATCGTTTTCTTTGTTTTGTAGATGTAAATTTTGATATCAGCAGTTTGGATGACAAATGTTATGAAAGTAAAAGTGATACAGGTAACTATAATGTTATATTTTTTCAAACAGTTGTTGACATTCTCAGAACAGTTATTTAAATGTTTTATCTCTTTTATTAGATATTTTAAGTCAGCCTGTGCCAAGTTGTGTTCCATCACCTTATCTTGAACCTGTTATCAAAGAGAACTTGGAAGATTTGATGGGATTTGAAACTCCTCCTTCTAATGGTGCTATTATATTTGTTTTCTGTTTTATGTGCTCTGACAAAAATTTAATAATTTTCCCAAAGTGCAAAGACTTGCTTTAAAATTTACTTTACTAAGCTCATTTTACATGGTCCCCCCCCCTTCTCTCTCTGGTGTGTGTGAGTGAGTAAGTGAGAAAGACTTAAAATTATGAATAAAATATTTTATCCTCTGTATGTCCTCTTATGTAAAAAACATTTATCCCATTGTATGTGCAAATTATTGATGTAAAATAGTTATACGCATTTTCCATCTCTAATTAAATAAGTAATTTATTTATAGTCAATATTTGAAAATATGTATTCTTTTATTAATTGTTTACGTTATTGCATTGTCAGGCAATATTTTGACTTTTGCTTGAAAGAAGATAGTTTTTTTTACCATATGTTTATCTATTGTATTCATACAGTTTTCATTCTGTGGTGAGCAATTCCTCATCTGCATAATTTTCCTATTTTTTAAGAACAGAAGTCTCTATAATAGAGCGATTCTGTGAAAAAAGTATACAGAAGTTAAAATTTTCACTTGTACTTCGTTTCAGCCTCTGTCTTTCATGCAACATGTACATTATTCTGTTAAAAATCCATTAGTTAGATGATTTCATTCGTAATAAGTGTCATGAGGTAGCGCAGTTGTAGGAAATAGTGTAGTTTTGATATTTAATGATAACATCTGATTCTAGATAACATCTTCCCTGTTAGACTGGAAGAGAAACACACTAATGTGACAATCAAAATCATAAAAACAACCTTGTATTTAGCGTAAGTATATTGAAACACTCAATCGATTTCGAGGGCAGCTAAAGGTCCCTCCTCATCAGGAGAAAGAAATACCTAGAAAGAAGAAAAATAAAGGATGCAATTTATGTGCAAAATTATTGCTGTAAAATAATTAATTGTGTTTTATTTTTCTTCTTTCTAGGTATTTCTTTCTCCTGATGAGGAGGGACCTTTAGCTGCCCTCGAAATTGATTGAGTGTTTCAATATACTTACACTAAATACAAGGTTGTTTTTACGATTTTGATCTTCCCTGTTATTCTTCTTCCCAGATAGATAGTTCTAGTTCCTATTAAATAGATATCATATTTTGTTTGGGAATATTGGTAGCATTTCTTTTATTCATATCTCTCTCTCTCTCTATATATATATATATATTTGCTTAAATATATATATATATATGCTTAAATATTCAGAAACTTGGTTGTTCTGTTTCCAATAATAAGATGCAGAAATCCTCTTAATAGTAAAGAAACTATTCCTGTACTTAACATTTTTAACAAAGAGCTACAGTGTTGCTTATAATTCAAACAATTAAGACGAAAACAGAGGAATTTTAAAGCAATTTATATAGATAATAGAATGGGCCCACCAGCGGCCGAGCGGTAAATTCGCTCAACACTGGTAGTTCAGTCCGAGGTTCGAATCCCGCGAACGGGCTGGCTGCATGGGTGTTTTCGTGGTTTTCCCTATGTGTAACATGTATACTAGCCAGTTTTCCTTAGAAAGTCCTCCACGAAGGCATCCATCCCCTTAGGCAGATAGCCCTTGAGGCTTTGTCATAATTAAATAACTTAACCTATAGATAATAGATTTCTGCTTGGTGTCCAACTCATTTTACAGTTTGAAAATAGTAGCTTTTTATGTAATGTTGCGAAAAGTTTAATATTTTTAAGCCTGTGCATTTCAGTTATCCACTTTAGTAAAATTTTCATTATATGCAAACTCTAAATTATTGATTTTAAAATCATCTTAAAGGCAGGACACTTGGTTGAAAAATTTGTTATTATTTAACAGTAAGTTTTTATAAATCTTTTTCCCTGATAGGTCAGTTTATATAAAAGCTGCATTTATTTATGGAAGATTGGAAAAAGAATAAAACATGCTGTTGCCTTCTACTAGAAAAATGTTACTTATAATTTAAATGTACTTAACTATGAACCAAGTAAGGTTTTCAGCTGTGTATTCATATTTTTAGTTTGCTGTGTTATGCAAAGATTATTTAGAGAGTTATGTTAGGTTGTATAAAATGCAAAACATCAGACTATTGAGAAATTCTTTGAAAATATGTGCAATTATTTGTTTATCAGAATGCTAAAAACCTTATAACAAAGAGCTTGACAAGTTATCTCAAATGATAGTATTTTAAAGTAAAATAAACTGTGTAAGTAAGGTATAATAACTGGTAACAATTATGATCAGATCTATCAATCATTTAATTTTATGATCCTTGACAATGTTGCCCAGTAAAAAAAGTAACCAATATGACATTGGGCCCATCAATAGCTCAGTAAAACTCATAATTAAATAAAATCACTTTACACAAAAACTCAAAAATGGACTGTATACTAAAATTTATTAATTACACAAAAAGCCACATAGTTAGTTCACATCTCTCAGTGGCGTCTCGAAACACTCTCAAACTCAATACAAGTGGCCACAAGGTGGTGCTATAAACAAAAATCAGTGTCATCGTTTTAGAACACAAATATTACATGTTTTTCACAGATGGCGCCTCTGTGGTCAACAGGCATCAACAAGAGAAAAGGGAGCAGCACAAAATCAATCAACCTTATATAAGGAAGCAAGCTTTAAACTTCAATTTCAAACTGGCAGGCACTTGTATATGTTCAAGGCAGCAGATTTAAATACTAACTGTAAAATACTCTGAAAATTAAATTTTAACTATTGCAGGTGTTTTTTTTTTTTTTTTTTTTTTAGTCATACATTTTAGTTTCTAAAATATTCAGAAAGACAACCAATATGTCTGATTTATCAGGATTATTTGGTTGAAAGTTCAGCTATGCCATGGTGAACCTAACTACTCCATGAAACTTAACCTGAAAGTAAACCATTTTACATGCATCTTTTATGTACTTCCTTAAGCTGTACATAATATTTAAAAGCAGTGTTATTTGTTAATAATTATGACTGTTTCTCTTCAGCAGTTTGAACCTTCTTTGTTAAGTGACTTCAGTTTATTTACTGTAAAATTTTCATTGATATAATATCATGTTATTTGATATGTAGCAAAAATTCAGGTTCTATAAACAAAAATCAGTGTCATTGTTCTAGAACACAAATATTACATATTTTTCACAGATGGCGCATCTGGCGTCAACATCCAGCCCGGCTTTGAATGTTACATTCAACAATAAATTTAGAACACAAGTTATAAAATACAAACACAACACTGCAAGATAATAATAATGACGGTTATACAATTATACAAATTCAAACTTGATAATTAACTGCAAATAAAATTTAAGTAACTGAAACTTTTTCATTAACAAAAGGCAAAGGTACAATTTTTGTCTCTGGCCTTTTATAGGTTCGATTTTTATCTTTAAGTGTCGCAACTCGAATAATATTATCTTGACCCTGGATGGGTTTTAATAATTCGTGCTAAATGCCACTTTAAAGGAGAGTAATTATCCGAATCTTTTACTAAAACTAAATCTCCTTCCTTCATTTCTACTTTTCCTTTATACCATTTAGGTCTATTTAAAAGTTTAAATATTCAGATGACCATTTTTTCCAAAAATTTTGATTTAATTTCTGAACCATTTGCCATCTACTTGTCTGATTTTAGGAATCTCTGTAAAATTAGGTTCAGGCAATGTAATTAAAGATGAACCAATAAGAAAGTGAGCAGGTGTCAGTGCCTCTACATCATTTGGATCATTTGATATGGGACAAAAGAGGGCAAGAATTAAGTACAGATTTAATTTGAACAATTAGAGTAAAAAATTCTTCATAAGTTAGAATTGTTTTTCCCACCACACGTTTCAAGTGATATTTAAGGGATTTCACACTAGCTTCCCATAAACCTCCAAAGTGAGTAGAGGGAGGATTAAAATGCCAATTTATACCTTCAGTAGCCAAATAACCTTTAATTTCTTCCTCACTTTTATCCTTAAATAAAGATTTTAAAATCGCTCTTAATTCTCTATGAGCACCCACAAAATTTCTGCCATTATCACTGAAAATATCTGAGGGTTTACCTCGCCTGGCAATAAAGCGTTTAAGTGCTGCTATAAATGCTGCACTTGTTAAATCATTTACAATCTCAAAGTGCAAGGCTTTCGTAATGAAACATGCAAAAATACATACAAACACTTTTCTTATCTGTTTACTTCTACCTACAAAATTTTTTTATCACAAATGGACCACAGTTCCTGTCCTAGCAAGTCCTGTTCTAGCAAAAACTCTCGCAGCTAGTAAATCAGTCATCTGTTGCTGCGCAGACCTAGAATTTACCTTTTTACAAATCATACAATTAAATATGATTTTTCTAATTATATTTCTTGCAGAAACAATCCAAAATTTACTCCTTATAAGTTATAGAGTTGTTTCAGCACCTGCATGAAAATAAAGAACTTGAAAATGATTAATCACAATTACAGTAAAATTATGTTTAGTTGGCAGAATCATAGGATGTTTTCTCATTTGACTTAAGTCACTGTTTTGCAGTCTGCCACACACTCTGAGTATTCCATCATGATCCAAAAATTGGACACAAATTCAATAGTTTACTACTATTAGGAATAGGAGCATCCTTTTCTAAGCACTGGATTTCTGTCGCAAATCAAGTCCTTTGAACGTTTTTCACAACACACAATAACGCACTAGAAAGTTCACTGGTTGTCAACGTTCCGCGTGTAGCATGCAATGGATGCCTGGTGTTATGCATAAATCTCTTGCACAAGCCACTACTCTTAGCAATATGTTTTAAGATGTATAATTATTGATGACATCTAATGGCTGATAAGTGTTAATAAGTGCACATATTTCACTTACTACTGGTGGTTTTAATTCGGGAAGATACAGTTCTTCGGACTCCTCAGAGATATCATCTTGGCACTTAGTCATCACAGGTTGAAGAAGAAATGAGGGTCCACACCTCCACAGTTCACACAGTTGAAGTTTGACCGGATCAGCACCTCTTGATATGAGATGCAACTGCAACTCGATTAGCAACAAACGTTTTCATACAAAAGGGCTCCTTTTTCAGCCAAGCCAAGACTATCGAAGAGTCACTCCAGAAAAATACATTATTCACATTAAGTTTCAGAGCAGATATTACTCGAGTCATTAACTTCGCAAGCAATACAGCTGTGCATAACTCTAATCTTGGTATGGTAACTTGCTTTATATGAGAAACTTTTGATTTACTTGTTACCAGCCTTATCACCACTTCACCATATTGGGAGACAGATTTACAATAAACTGCAGCTCCATAAGCGAACTCAGAGGCATCACAAAATCCGTGTAACTCGATAACAATTGCTTCTGCGACAAGAATGCATCTGTTAATTTCTAATTTATATATATGTGGCAGTTCAGAGAAAAACCGTTGCCATTCTTTGGCTTTTTTATCAGGTAGAAGATTGTCCCAATTGAGCTTCAAAACCCATAGTCTCTGAAGAAATATTTTAGCTTTGGCTATTTAGGGACCCAATAAACCAAGTGGGTCAAAGATTCTCGCTATTGTTGACAAAACTTGTCTTTTAGTAATTTCATACTCATTTTCTAGTTTCACTTAAAAATTAAAACAATCTTTATCTGCTTTCCAGGAAACACCAAGGGCTGACCCTTCATTCGTGCACTGAAATGTGTATTCATCATCAACGTTAACTGCAAGCTCCAGATTGTTGCTACACCATTTGTGCAGAGTCATAGTTGCACTTTTTAAAATCTCAATTAATTCATGATGTAGCTTTTTTGTCGAACTCAATGAACTGGACCCTGTTAGCACATCATCCGTGTAAAAATCACTCTGTAGAACTGCAGCTGTTAATGGAAAATTTGTGAGCTCATCTATAGCAAGCTGACGTAATGTTCTCATGGCTAAACAAGGTGTACTTTCTGTGCCATAGGTGATCGTGTTCAACTCAAAAGTTTTAACTGGACCATTAATTGACTCTTTCCACAAAATTCTCTGTAGCTGCCATTGAGTAGGATGAATTAATATTATTCAGGACATCTTTCTGATATCCACTGTAAAAGCATAAATAAATATGTTCGGAAACGTACCATAATTGAAAACAAGTCCTCTTGAAGTACACCACCATTATACTGAATTGAATTCAGCGAATTACTTTTTTGACGTTGCAGTCGAAGCATCGAACACTACTCTCAAAGGTGTCGAACTTTCCTCAGGGCGATAAATACCAAGGTGTGGAATATAATATTCCCCTTTTGTGCATGTTATCTTTCACTTCAGTCATGTGACCTAGCTCACTATATTCATGTAGAAAATCAGAGTACAATAGTAAGTAATTTTCATCCTTACTTAAACGAGTCCACAACGAGTTCAACCTCTTAAGCGCCATTTGTTTCAAATTCCCTAAACACATTGGATCTTCTTTAAACTGCATCTTGACTACATATTTTTCGGTTTCAGTCCTAGAATAGTTTTTGAGAAAATGCTGTTCACAAATTTCTAGCTCTTTACTCTTAGAAATCTCACTTTCTCTTTCTACATTTTTGATTTCTCAAAACTCTCTTACTTCTCTTTTTAACTATAAATTATCTGTAATAAGCCCGCAATGTAATTTACTTTCCCCTTTAGCAGGAAGAGTCCCACTTACAACATAGCCGAAAACACTATTTTGTAATCTTAAATTTGAATCCTGAAGGATAAAAGCTCATAGAAATGTTCTGCACCTATCAGAAATTCAATTGGGCCTAGCTCAAAAAATCTGGCATCTGCTAAATTGATGTTATCTAAAGCTGAAACATTTATTTCAAGAGGCCTAGAGGGCGCATATTCTGTTACTTTAGGAACCACCAAAAAATTTTTAACTTAGATCAAAATTCTTGTCTCTATTTAAAATAGATACACTAACTCTAGATTTTATATTCAAAGACAAATTATTTATTCCTGAAACAGAAATTTTATTCTTTTCTCCCTTTAATTGAAGCAAATCTGCTAACCTTTTGCTCATAAAATTTGAATTGGCATCTAACAAACCTCTAACTATGCATCTTTAATTAAACAAACAAAAGTGCTGATTAAGACATTCACTTTTGATTCATTCGCGAGATTGCACTTTGTTAAGAATAAATTTTGATCAGTACTCACTTTAGATTGCAGAGGTTTAAATGATGGAGCCGAAGCGTCCAAATTCGAATGAGTATTTTTATTTTCATGACTCATTACCTGCGCAACTATGTCTTTGTTTATTTTTTGTTCCGGACGGAAATGAAGAGTCACGTGATGTTTCTTTTTAAAAATACCGCAAGAGAATTTATTGCTGCAATTAATCACCTTATGATTTCCTAAACTGTTGAAACATAGCCGTTTCGGTTTCACTAGCCCAACTCTATCGCTTGTCATGTTTTTTAAACAGGGCATTTGTACAAAGGATGAATTTCATTGCATGATAAAATTTATTTTGAATTTTTTTACATCGGTTAGAAAAACCTTTGACGTATTTTTAGGATAACTGTTTTTATTACTCAACCTAGAATTATCCACTACAGGTTTTCTCTTTGATATATAATATAAATCTATCTCTTTCGCCAGTTCTACAGGTTTAAACCAAGAATTTCCTTGCCTTACATTTATAAAACACATAACCACTTTATCAAGTGTTTGACATATTTATCAGAAACCATTAATTGCTTTATGTTTCAAAGTCATTTACCTTTCTCTGTTTCATATAATAATCCCAACTTGTAGTTAATCTAGGTGCGAACTGCACGTAAGTTTCATTCGTCATTCGCTGTGTCTTTGTAAACAAATTTGGGGGGTGGATGGTTCGAATTCTCTTAGCACTATTTCTTTAACCTTCGAATAATCTCCTAATTCGTCATCTTTAATGTACGTATTAACATTTGTGGCTTTTTCTCCCAACAAGTTTAGAAGAATTTCCGATTTAAATTTCTCTGGAACACTTTTTAAAATGAACACCCTTCTAACGGTGAAAAGAAATAAACCCAACCTTCCGATCTAATTGGAAATTTAGTTGCTAATGTTCGTATACTTTTAATAAGAGAGTCGAGAGATTCTACATTTTCTCTTTTCTCATATTCTATGAGGTTTTCACTCTTTGATTCTGCTCGCAACTTCGCGAGTTCTAGTTCAGATTTCAATTTCTCAAGTTCGAGCAATCGGCTCTCGTCACTTTTTCTTTCGTTGATAATATTATTTGCTATACCTTCAACTAATACAGGGTCATTTTTATACCTTTTACTGTTTTTGATTACATCAATTAAATCTGATATAGTTTTTGCTTCTGAAATGTCTAAATTCAACTCTACAGCAAGATGCTTATAATCATCCTTTTTTGAACTTTTAAACATTTTGAATCTACTTTTTCAATTACACAGTTTTTACAATTAAGGCCATGTACCTTCTATTTAAGAGAAATCTGCAAGTTTTCCTTCCACGACACTTGTCTTCCAACTTTGACACAAATTTGAACTCTGGCTGGGTAAGGACCAACAATGGGCCCGTCAATAGCTCAGTAAAACTCATAGTTAAATAAATCACTTTACACAAAAATTCAAAAATGGACTGTATACTAAAATTTATTAATTACACAAAAAGCTGCATAGTTAGTTCACATCTCTCGGTGGCATCTCAGAACACTCTCAAACTCAAAACAAGTGGCCACAAGGTGGCGCTATAAACAAAAATCAGTGTCATCGTTTTAGAACACAAATATTACATATTTTTCACAGATGGTGCCTCTGTGGTAAACAGGCATCAACAAGAGAAGAGGGAGCAACACAAAATCAATCAACCTTATATAAGGAAGCAAGCTTTAAACTTCAATTTCAAACTGGCAGGCACTTGTATATGTCTATATGTCCAAGGCAGCAGATTTAAATAACTAACTGTAAAATGCTCTGAAAATTAAATTTTAACTATCGCAGGTTTTTTTTTTTTTTTAGTCTACATTTTAGTTTCTAAAATATTCAGAAAGACAACCAATATGTCTGATTTATCAGGATTATTTGGTTGAAAGTTCAGCTATGCCATGGTGAACCTAACTACTCCATGAAACTTAACCTGAAAGTAAACCATTTTACATGTATCTTTTATGTACTTCCTTAAGGTACATAATATTTAAAAGCAGTGTTATTTGTTAATAATTATGGCTGTTTCTCTTCAGCAGCTTGAACCTTCTTTGTTAAGTGACTTTAGTTTATTTGCTGTAAAATTTTCATTGATGTAATATCATGTTATTTGATATGTAGCAAAAATTCAGGTTCATACCAGTGTTTTTTAAAGTCAATGTTTATTTTTTTAGTAATATGTGTTTTCCTTGAAAATTTTTAAGTCATGGAGAAAAATTTCTTGTTGCTTAGAAAAATTAATTATGAAGTTTCTGGAATAAAGCTAATCATCATATGAAATATTCTACATGAATGATTCTGATGGTGGTTGTCAGAATGTGAATATGAGAAAGGACAAATAATGAAAAAAATTTAATGACCAAATTATTTTTTAATTTATATAATACTCAAATTCTACCTTATTAATGTATCATAGGAAAATATTCCTATGATATTTTGCTCTATGGAATATATATTACATCATGGATGGGCATTTCTTGTTATTTTCCTTTTGCTTCACATTTCACACACTCAATATCGAAGCAACTAAGACATTTTAATTTTAATGCATGCATATGTACTTTTTGTAGTGTACTAAAAAAATTCATTTTCTAGGTGCAGATTTTGATGTATCATCATCATGTAATGTCAGTGATTTTAAAAATTCTTGCGACAAGCAATATGCAGTGAAGGTTGCTTCAGAAATTCCTCCTTTCTCTGCAGGGAAACAAATGCAAGCTGATACATCATCTTCTGTTTCTCACACCAGCAGTTTCTTAAATATGCATACAGCTCAAGCAAAGTATTTTAATCCTCGATCTCACTTATCTCTGAATGCTCAGTTATCTTCATATGCATTTAAGCAGCCAAGTACAATAATTCATGAACCAACAGTAGCACATATTCAGTCTGTGATAGAATATTCAGATGCTTCTGTTTCGAAGACTGTTTTACATTATAGTTCTGGTTCGGAATCTAAAATTGCATCTACTGCTAGTACATGCAAATTATCAACTTTACGCTCAGAAAAAAGATTTGAAAGTCGGAACTTGATTTGCCAAAAAGTTTTATCTGATCAAAGTATTAATAAATCAAAATTAGACTCGCATTCATTTGAAGATCTGACTAAATGTAGGCAGCAACTTCAGGAAACAATTAATAATGATCTTCCAAGTTCTAAAAGCACACCAACCAGATCTAGCAGACAACTCAATCGTCGAAACAGAATTGCTGCTCTGTTTTCTTTGCCTATCATTGATTAACTTTTATTGACTTTTGCACATTTTCAGTGTACAAAATCATGAAAGTTCTCTATTTAGTGCTATTTTATTGTGCATTTTTGTGGTTTTTATTGTTGAAGTATTTAATTTATTAAACCAAAGTTTAAATTTACATTGGCTTACAGGATAGTAATTGAAGTTTATTTGAAGGAAGTTAAGTTTTGTAGTTTCTGTATGAGTCATTTCATCATTTTGTTTTTAAACTATGGATTCTGAGTGTTTTTAATCTTAAATATGAATAACATTTGAAAAGTACTTATGGTTCTTTTATTTTTACATTATTTCCCACAAAAAGGAAACAATATTGCTTATTTTTCACCTAAAAATGGATTTATCTCTATGTTTTTAAAGTGGTGATTGGAGTAATATTAGCAATTCTATATTAAAGCATTTTAACTGTTTTATAAATATGTAAGCTAATTAAGCCTAGCATTATAGGTTTATGTGAGTATTTAAAAAGTTTTTTTGCCAGCATGTCTTTTTTTTGACATGTATGGATATAAAATGCATGTGGAAATGATTTTTAGTCAGCTGTGTGCATTAATATTAATTTCTGCACAGCAATTTTGCATGCCTTTAGTTGTTTAATATTTCACTGAGTTTTCCTGTGTGGATTACCCATGTCCATAGTAAAATTTACACAGTTTGGTGTAAAAGTATTAGCTACAACATATATGTATACTTGCTTGACAAGTAGGGCATTTTTCATAAAAATATATTTCTTTGCTTGTCAGATAAGGTATAAATCTTGTTTTGACTATCCTGTAAGTATTGATTAAAAATTGGGTTTTTTAGGGCACTGAAGTTTAGTATGTTAAATATAGCACATAATGTTTTGAACACATATATTTTTATCTTCTGTAAAAATTCGTCTTTGTATCCAAATTTGATTTTGAAGTATTTATGGTTTATTTTGTAATTTGAATTTTTAAGTTTGTTCCTAATTCAATGTTTGTAAATTTTTATCCCAAGAAATAAAACTTTGCAGCTGATGATATTCATGCATTTTCTGACATCATAAAGATCAAATAATGATTTTAACAACCTTAAATTGTGTCTTATAATAATCTAGTAAATAATCAAAATCAGCCATACAAGAACAAATCTCTTTTCATACATAATTATGAAAAGAAGTCTGATTTATTGCATTTTTTCACATACAAAAAAATCAAAATGAAAATATTTTAACCGATTTTATGTTATGTAGATAAATAATGTTTCTGCTTAAATTATTCCTATATATCAACAGATATATGATAATAGAACTTCGTATACTGACTATTATGCTAGTATCAGCATATTATTGGTTGAAAAATCAACTGATAGTGTAATTTTAGTAAACAAAATTTATAGGGCATAATGTTTCCTTGGTTTATATTTGGACTGAAAGGATTGACAAATGGAACAATTGTTTAGTGAACTTCAAAATCAAGAGTATGGATATAAAAAAAGGACTCTTTAAAAATTAAGCTAATGAATTATTTTTCATCTAAACTAAATACATCGCAGAAATTATACACATAATGAAATACATTAAATACAAATACTGAATAAATTAAAATTGCAAGATATTGAATAATAGCACTTAGCAAATTCATATTTATTTTACAAATACATTATTATAGGAGCATGAAATTATTAAGTAATTTTGTGATACAGAACCTGCAAAAATTGGTATTCTGATTTGTGGCAACAATATCAACTGTTAGAAACCTAGACATGGAGCTGGGTCACATGGAGCAGTTGTGGGTATTCCAATCCATGCAGCTTCAATTCTGAAACATCTGTTGTGCTACCTGATGGATGGTAGTGTGACATATTATCTGCAACTATTTTTAATCTAAGGAAGGCTTTGTCTCTAAAGTACTATTGTTTTCGTTTTGCAATTTTGCATTGAAAACTTTTAAAGGCTGTATCACTTTTCAAATCATTGCCACCAAACACTATCGCCTTATATTATATTTGAAGAAATTAAATAATGAAGAATCTGCATAAATGTATGTAGTTTCTCACATTGTGATTAAAAAAACGGTACCTAGAGCCATCCAATTTTGAATGACATAATCCTATTGCGAATATGGGCATCTGAAAGCCCAAATTTGAAATTTGTTTTATTATCGATTTCATATTTTGTAAAACTTTAACAAATTTTGATTAGCAAACTTCAATGATTTAAAAGCGAGCAATGGCAACACTCTACGGGGAGGAGAACCTTTTTATCTCCAGCGTGTGGAATTGTGTATTGGAAATTCGAAAGATATGCTCATTTTAAAATTATTTTACAACATTGCTGTTGAACTGAATTTTATGGTTTAAGTGCAAAGAACATGATATTTAATAAATAAAGGTAACACACAAAACGTTAAAAAAACGCCACTTTGGACGTAATTTAAAATTGGAAACCTTTCAGTTTTAAGTTAATTTTATTTATTTATTTTTTAATTTGAAAACATACAGACTTCCTGTGCACCACATATGTGCAACACGGGGTTTACAGAAGTAAGTTAACTACAACATTCAAAGTTGCATGCATAAGTAAAACGAACAAAAGCAGAGAACAGCAATCTGGACTTCACGAAAACAGATAAGTTCACAGGCTAAGTCACTGCGAACATTTTCAAATCGTTCTGCAAGCATAATCTAGGACCATCAAATGTAGGGCACGAGAAAATCAAATGTTCCACATCTTGAGGTACTCTTTTTGAACATTTACATAAATTGTTTGATCTTAGATTAAAACGAAACAGGTAACTTGCAAATTTACCATGACCAGATAAAAACTGAGAAACTTTAAAATTTATGGAGAGGAAAGACTCGAAATGCAGTCTATGGTAAATAGAAGGAAAGAACCTGTTGGTGACCTCAGCATTACAAGATAAATATAACTATATATTTTCAAATAATGAAAGAAATCTGAAGAATGCTCCATCTAAGGAAGAGTTCAACATCCTGTGTCATGAGACAGCATGTTTTTGCAGTGGGGTGTAGTGACAGAGGCGCCAAAGGTATGTCACAGCTACAGATGTTAAAATTTCAGTAATGTAATTTTGGCTGACCGGAGTATTGTATACGTGAATAGAGGTGAACAGTATATCCCACACCATCAAGTTCTGAGCTAGTATAATGATGAATAGGCAAGTCTCCAACGATTGTTACCTCTGTGCCACCACAAAAGCCCTGTTCACATGCAACGCTCCTTCTCACAGCTGCCGTTAGCAAGGGCAGAAAAAGGAGACATGAAAGAGTTTCGTCTTTAGGACCCATTCAGAAGACCACCGTCTTCCTTCTCCTTTACACCGAAGCCTCTGTGAACAATCACGTCTCCGAATTGGCAGATTTCTAATACTGTTTACACATTTTTAACGCTGTTTACTGTTGTTAATTTTGTAATCTACTTTCGCAACTGGTACCTGAAATTTCATATTGGTTCTTGAAAAAATATGTGCTTTTTAATTATTATTATTATTTTATAAGCTGTTATTTAGTTCACTCTTGGTGCTTGTCGCTATGGTTAAAAGATGGTCAGGGATTTTTAAACTGCTTCCCGATAAGATATAGAACTCAAACTTTGTTTATACACTGCTTGTGAATGTGGTGTCACCCTTTTGATTTTTAGAGGATTAGATTTTTTTCAAATTTAAAGTTGAAACGACTTTCTGCAAATATTAACAAATAAACTGAGAATCTGAGAATATTATAGTTTGCATCATAACACACTGTGGAGAAAAAAAAATTAAATGAAATTTTTAGCATATTTCTTTTAAAAAATATTTTGGGAGAATTTTTGAGAATTGTTCATATTTTTAGACTTTTTGACGCCCATTAATTTTAAAATTTCATATCTAAAAATATATCCGTTACAAACTTCCGACATTTTCACAGCTTATAAAACAAACTTTTCGCATTTAAAAAAAAATGATAAAGGAAATTAATTGGATGATTTTTTTTACTTTTTTGAAAGATATGCAATGAAGCAGAATGGGAAATATTGGTTCTTCTTGGGCATCAATTCAAAACATCAGTTCCAAAGAATAATCTCATTATACCACACTATTTTTATGACATTATTTATGCTATATAAGTTGTTATTGTTGCCAGTTGTTAGTTCAGCGCTAGATTGGAGATATTTCTGAGTTAACTTTCTCTTAAGATGCGTTTTGCATTCTGTTGTGTTTAACGTCTTATTAGATTGAAGCATAACTACTGATTATACTTACTGATGTTCTAAATACTTGTACGAGTATTTCTGTGGAAAATTCCAGAACTTTGAAGTGTTTATGTTGATAAAATAAATTTAATTAAGCTATCATCAGATTTGAGTGCAATGACAATCATTTACGAACTATTATCAATCTATTATAAACCCGTACGCACGCAACAATATTATAATTAATTAATGTATTAAAATTTTTTGAACATGTTTTAAAAAACAAAAAAAGGTAAAGAAAAATTCTGCTTGCGTTTTATGAGTTTTTGCAATTTTTCTGGCCACATAAGGTTTTAAAAAAATGTTTGTAATTTATGTTTATATTTATCAATTGAATAAATAACACTAGGTTTGATTTATATACATATGTGTATGTTGAAATTCAGTAATAAAATTTTAAAGATTTGAAATGATTAAATGTCTATTTAGACAGTTTATATTCTTTAAACCGCAAATGCAAACTGAGAAACCTTTTGCATTTTTTTCAATAAATTCTTTTACTTAAAGTCCTAAAACATATACAGGTATGGACTAAATTTTTTATTAATTTTACTGCTTACTTAAAATTATATAGTTTATAGGAACAAGGATGGGTTTTTCAAAATACTGAAAGGAAAAATTATTTGAAATGAAAATGTGACTGAGATCATATTTGTTTTAAAGATTTTAGATAAAAGTGTATTTTTTTCCCCTCAGAAACTAATTCATTAATTGCAAAATCATTCCTTGAAGTTGTTAAGAACACTAATAAATACAATAAAAAACTGGGGGAAGACATTGAAAATTGTAGGAGAAGAAAAACATTTTAATTGTAAAATTTTTCTTCAAAAATTTTAATCAAAAAAGAATACTAGCAAAAACTCTTTTCAGCTTAAAATTATTTTGTCTTACAAAACCATTTCATTATATTCATAAAAAGTAGATGAAAAATGCTTAAATTAAAAAAAAAAAAAAAATTCAAAAGGTACCGAATCCCTTGTAGCGTTGAAGCCGATATACACTTGTCTTAACTGTAGTTTTAATTTGAACGGTATTTCTGGGATACCTAGCATCAGATAACATTGTCTGTATTTGTCTATAATTTCCGTATCTTGCACAGTTCTATCTAATTTTGGGGGCATGCTATCACATCCCCAGACATCTATCAGCGCAATAGTTTCGCTGACAGTTCAGCGAGCAGTAACTAAAATTAAGTGAACTGCGCAGTATAGTACGGAAAATCTCCCCATTTGCCCTGCTCCCGAGAGGTAAGGAACATTCAACCAAGTTCTACCTCCAATTCGGCGAGGCAGTTAATGCTTGCTCCATGTGGACGGGACACGTTGGAAGAACCGGTTTTCACTACCGGTCGAATCTGCTCTTGTGAACGGAGCTAAACTGGTATAACAGGTTTCGTACACATTTCTGCTCATGGAAATTAAGTACAGTACAAAGTCCGTAATCCAGACGTCCATTATCCGAAATTATCTATAATCCGTACCTCAAAGCCACAAACTTAATGCATGCACGTAAAGAATGCTCATACATTATGCATGCACACGTCAAAAGAAATGTTTAATAAAGTAAACAAAATAAATATTAAGCTTTTTTTTTGTAAAATTTGATACCCTTTAGATCATAATTGCTCTTTATTTCATAAATTACGGTTTCATATTTTTAATTGTATAATTTCTGCATGCCATCTTACCAGATTTAAATTGATGATCTATAATCCGGAAGAAACCCCTAATCCGGAATCGCTGAGGTCCCGAAGAGTCTGGATTACAGACTTTGTACTGTACTTTCAGA